CCGCGACTTCTCGTGGAATGTCGTCCATGGACAACCGTCGAATATGCTGAGCGTCGTGAAACTCCTCATTGATATCGTGAAGGGGACGAGACGTAACGAGAATCCGGAAGTTGGATGGAAGTTTGGTGATTTCGGGAAGACCCTGCTGCTGAAGTGTACCGGCAAGTATCCGGAGAAGATCACGCCGCGTCTCAATTCCGCCGCTCTCGTCCAGTGCTTCGATCACGATCAAGACAGGTCCTACACTTGACCCGGAGAGCTTCCCTAGTGGTGCCATGAGAAGTTTGCGCCACTGCTGGATGATATCCGTTGTATTCTTGAGCGAATTTGCATTCTTGACTGCATTCGCCAATGCTCGTCTCATCTCCGGATCACGGTCAGCCAGATCGCGGGCGATGGTAGAAAACACTTTTTCGTGACGCTTGTCACCTTCGAGTTGCCGGTCGAAGCAGAAGCATGAACCGAGCCCTCCCATCTCGTCGAACCAGTTAGCGATCGTGTGAGCGATCGCTGATTTGCCCGTGCCGGCAGGGCCAGATAGCCATAGCACACGCTGAGCAGCATCTCCGCTGTCGTTGATCCAGTCAGTGATCTGGGAGAGAATCTCCGTGCGCGTCCCTGGTAGGCATTGTTTCCTAGTATCTAGTCCTGCGCCCTTTGCATAAGCCATGTCGCTGAGATCCGGTGTTTCACCTGAACGGGTGTAAGTAAATGCAAAGTCAGAAGCGCGTCAGGATACTTACCCGTACATTGGACGAAGATGGGTACATCCCCAACAGCTTGGTCCCGAAATTGTTGCATAAGACCATCCAAAGCGTCGCTGTACTGTGCGATGATGTCATCCGTTTCTGAGACGACGTCGTTCCCAAGTCTCTTCCCTGTGATCATGGCGTAAGATTGTGAATGTGTGAAGTGCAATAGCTCGCTGACTCACAAAACTTGCTTGTCACCGAGTAGTCCCTGATGAAACGCGCGCACTCCTGAATCTGCTGAGCGACCCGTCCTACGATACTGTGCATGGATGAGATCTGGCTAAGAGTGTCGTCTTGGATCATGAAGCGATAAACTTCATCTAATTTCTTGACAAGACGATGCACCGATTGCGTCGCGATTCGCTTGAGCGACAAGAATCTGCACACAAGTGATAATTAGTCAGCAGGAGATGAAGCTCAGGGTGAAAGCACGTACTTTGGATGCAGCAGACAGCACACCCAGCGCCATCTTTGCGTATGAATGTACCTATGCGACTCGATTAGTTCGCTTCCAATCAAGGAGAATGGTCCATACATTTTCAAGCTTCCCAATGGCAGTATCGAAATGTTTGAGGGGTTCGAGGTATGTGGTCTGGAAATTCTCTGCAGCATTCAGCCCTGCTGGGGCATTGTTGGACGCCGCAGATGTTGGGTGTTGCACTAGGAGATTCATGCTCTCCACACCCCGAAGTACATCATCAGCCGATTGAGGATCGGTACCTTTCTGCACCGCAGAAGGGGAAGCCTGAACCTGCGCGACCACCGAAATTTAGCGACCAAAATGCGGATCATTGAACCAAAGTACCTGCAAACCAGATTCTGCGTATGGGCCTTGATTGACGTAGACACTGTAATTCTGAGACATGGTAGAATGGTGGTCGTCTGTGTCAACATCCATAGGTGTGTCCTGGGCGCTTGTGAGAAAACTGAAAGACCGTGATAACAAGTTGCAGCACATACCTCAATAATATTCTGATTCGATGAAGCACCTTCATGATCGATGTTCTGGGCAACAGAATCGCGACGGGAACGCTTGGAGGGTCTCTGCATGATAGCAGACTTAGTCATTCCAGGAAAGCTTGCCAGTTTTGAAGGCTACGCACAGAAAGTTCTGCAGTTAAAACGTTCTCAGATTTCCGCTTACTAGACTGCCGGACTTCGTTACGGGGTGTGCTCTGGATGAAGAACGGGTCAGAGGCAGCGATGAATTTCATGAGCGCTCATCGAAAGTGATCTGACGAAGCCACGCACCGAGCTTTCACCAGCGGTTGGTTCGCTGAATCCGCGGGCTCCTGGAGGGCTCTGATTGTAGCTCATTACGAGTGGTCGAAGAATTGGAACGGTGGACGCTGGGCAAGACTTGAGGTAGTGTGAGTCTTGAGAAGGAATTGGGCCACTCAGAGCCAAATACCCTTGACCACTGGAAGCTTGGAGGCAGTGGAGGGTGGCCACCACGCTGTCTTGAGGCGTTAATCATGTCGGCCATTTCCATCACCCGCTAGCCTCGAGGCATTGCCGTGAACGTGCACACTACACGCTCATGGCACACATTTCGCAGCCCAACATCCAGGAGTTTGTCATTTTAATATTGCCCGATCCATGTACAACTTGTTGACGACCCAGCTGGTGTGGTCCGTAGTCAACCTCCTCCGATCCTCTCAGTATTTCCCATATCAAACCACACCTCCGTCCTCGTCGACAATTCGTAAGTCCCACAGTCTGCTCCACTCTTCTACTCGCATACCGGTGAACGGTCAACGTTAACCTGCAGGATCCACTAAGACGGTGCTCGTATCATCTTCCACTTCATCATTCACCCGCGGGAATGATCTTGTTGTATTCTTTTGGATGCGAAAGTTGATTAGGTTCCTCTATCCAAGGATCCAGCTGATGATTTTCGTGTGACCATATTTAGGTACCCGAGTGGACTTGTGTCGAGCCTTTTGGCTCGTTCTCAGCCACTTAATCAACACGCGTCAGAGAGTTTGAAGTAACGGAGCTTTGGAAACCTCTGCGATCGACGCTACTTCTGGTTCATGATCCAACGCTGATTGCCTCCCCTGCAGAGAAGACACGCACGAAGAACTAATGACACAAGGGGGAGACTATGCTCGTAATTGGAATCTGCAAGTGCAACTTTCATTTAACAAAGATACCAAGACCACATATGGTATAATATCTCGGACTATGATGTACCACCCACCCTCATGCATACATCACAACTATGCAATAGTCAGGAAATACGACAAAGTAAAAGACAGCAAAACAAAAGGATAGATGATGATCGTAACGACGCTCGATCGCGCCAGTCCCCGACTCCTGTTCGAATGATATCACCTATTCCAAAAGATGATATGATGGAGTATAAATCTGTGCACGCCGGATTTAAAAACGGGCGAGATAAAGTCACATTTCACTAGGTGTTCGATTAGATAACTTTCTGGTTGGTCGGGTTTGGCACGTAGCACAGCAGTACAATTCACCGACAGATATCCTGTAGGTCATGTACACAACGTTTCAAAGATAGCTCGCAAATAGTTTCTCGAATATCCTTTAACAAAGTCGAGGTGATATCATTTGGCACGACTAAGAACAATACGATGTCACTGCACACCGGAAAATGGGCTGAGCATTTCACTAGGTGTTCGATCAGATAACTTCCTGCTTTGCTATTTCCATTGTTTTAAGATTGGGTTTGGGACGCACCACGGCACCGTCTGAAGTTATTTTCCTATGTCACCAGTCCGCAAATCCAACAAGCTTCCCATCCCATGTCCACCAAATCATCTCATCCTCTTCTGGAATCTCTCCACTTTCCGACTCTTCAGTCATGCCCTGTCGGCTGCGAATCCATACTCCTTCCACCTTCACTCCCTTCTTTTTCTTCTTAATATCATCTTTTGTCGGACGTTCACCAGATTCCTCGAGAAACGCGTCTAGAAACGTGTCAAAAGCACCGCTGAGGGTTTGTCTGGGCACCCATGCCGGGTGCATGAATCTTCGCGGAGCACGCAGGACTATGTGCGTTTGGGTTGGAGCTATGCATCCGGAATAACGTCAGGGTAGGGGGATGGGGGAAATGGTAAAAACAGATGTGAAAAGATGGATGCTTACGCATTTCGCTGGCCATGCCCTGTCCATCATTTTCTCCGCATGCGCTTGCGAGGGTGCGTGAGAGCAGGCGTTCGGCAGCGCGGAGGGCTTCGAGTTCTTGGGTGTAAGTGGGAGGCAGTGGTTGCGGTTCAGGAGGCGGAGAAGAGGATGGAGAGGGTGACCTCGATGGTGGTGGGGAGGGCGCTTGAGAAGATTGATCAGACTCTGTTTCATAGGCGGCTTCATCGCCTGAGTCATCGCTGCTATCACTGTCATCACTTTCGTTAGAGTCGACCTTCGCTATCACTGGTCGTTGTCCGAGTTAGACTCGTCCTCGCTATCATCTCTCTCTTCGTCATCCTCGGCTGCTTCTCCCTTACCATGTTCAGATGGGACACCCGAGCAATCATCTCGTTCACCCCAGACCTTTGCCTCCAAAGCATCCACACCCACCATCACCCTGCATTTGGCAGATCCAGGTGTAGGACCGAGAACGACTGCAAGGTATGCACGACCAGAGTTTTGAGCATCTTTTCTCGGTGTCCCGCTGCGTAGCGCAAACGCCGTAGAGAGTGCTGTGAATGTCGTATTGAGGTGTGAGGCGAGGGTATCGAATGAATTGAGGAGCTCCTGGACGCTTCTTCGCAGCTCGAGACGTAGCCTTCGTGGTGTCAGTGATAAAGCCAGATAAATGGGTTGGGCACTTACATCACCACCGGACATGCGTGCCATCTGCATGACTGGGCTATATATACAACCATGAGCAGACAATTCATTCGAAGGGCTATAACTTACAAGGGAACTTGGCTTTTCAGAAATAGAACGTGACCGATCAAGCTGATGCATAATCTGGCAGCCATGGAGTCTGTCACGAGGTCGGCGTCGAGTGTGACGGATGGGATTTTCGCGGGAGGAGTAGGCATCGGGATAGGCTGTTTACTCGTATAGGTATCTTCTATTTGTTTAGGAGGTACGTGTCCTTCTATCTTACAGTCAGAGGGTGCAAGGATACGCATGGTTGGAAGTGTCAGGACGGAACGATGGATGAGGTGACAATTTACATGTGACGTCACGCGCTTAACGCGTTCTCGTCACGTGCCGTGAGATGATTTCACGCCCCATCTCAGTTTGCGTAACAACGCCCGTAATATGAACGCCTTGATGGCTCAGTTGGTTAGAGCGCAGGTCTCATACGGCTGTATGACCGGTACCGTCACCGGGCAATCCTGAGGTCGCAAGTTCGAACCTTGCTCAGGGCATCATCCTGCCAGTTGGTTCTGACACGTCGGATCGATCTGGATTTTTTTGATTTTTTTTCATCTTTTCTTTGCAGTGATCAGTAGGTGGGCATTAATTAGGCCGCATTGTGTACTGACTAACTAGCTTAGGGAACAGTTGTTCGAGGGACACCGCGCTCAAGCTTCAAGTTTGCTGCAGATCTCATAACTTAAAAACTAGCACAGAGTCGGAATTTGAAAGGTTCTTTGACAACCGCTCCTATGCGATGAACCAAACGCTCCACCCCGACAACAAATCTTGCACTGAGTCAGACTTTGGACCATGAGGTGGCTTCACATCAACCGAGGTGCTTCGGCGGTAGCCCAGAGCGACACTGTTTGATGTGATTGCTCCGACTCTGTGACACGCGAGCTCAATTAGCACATTGCGGGAGCTTTGTTTTACCTCTTGTATGAACTCACGCACGTTACGAGGAAATAAGCGCTCGTAACACTCATGTTCATATTGAAGAG